AAAGTCTTCCAGATGTTGGCTACTCAGCCAGGGTTGATCGAGATCTCTGAGCAAGTATCCATGGTTTGTGTAAATAAAGCTGATCACCTCGTTTAAGATTAAGCTCAGCTTGGGCATTGAACGACCAAAGCGAGGAATCATATGCGAGGGACGACATGGGTAAGAAAAAAGTTTCAATAAAATCAACAGTCCTTTCGTTCCTGAACATACCGTGCTATTGGCACAAGTAAAAATTTCTGGAATTGCTAATGCCCGAAGAGGGAGAGACAATCCTGTGATACCAAACCTGAGCTCGACTGCAAACTCTTCAGGAGAAGTGGCGTCAAAAACATCGTCAATCCTTTCATACTGCTTGTAAGGATGTTGCCTTCTCATCGTTGTGATTTCATAAATCGCCAGGAAATCTTCTTTGTCAATCTCTTCATCTCTAAGGAGGTAAACGGATGCTTCTAGGATAGTTTTTTTGGCTAAACATGGGGAGATTGTTACAGTAAAACCCTCGCACTCGGATCGATACATTTGTTTACAATCTAAAGTTACATTTTCCATCAGCACGACTACGAGTACGAGATACTAGTGCCAGATCTCGCGCGGTTAAAACTCGTACTCGTACTCGTTCTCGCACTCGAATCTAAAGCTCTCTATTATTAGCCACTTTGAGAACTTCCTAACCCTCTTCATGATTAAGAGCTTGAGATACTGAATTGTCTCCCGCAGACTTTCCCTTCTTGAGGTTTCAAGCTTCGTCAGGGAATATTCGGTGATTCCTAGATGTTTACCGAGGGTGATGTAAGATGCAGCCATAGTCTCAATACTTTCCGCATTCAGTGTTGCTACAAATGTTAGACCGTGACTGTCACGTGATGTTGCAAAGAACTTTTGGCCCAGTTGACGGGCAAGTTGAGTTTTCTCACATCCGGCAGTTCCAGAGATATAGACATTGCTGACAGTTTGCTGATCTCGAGTGGCATCTTGAAGGTCTTTCATCTTTTCCACGAGTCATTTGATGTCATTTGTACGTTTGACAACTTCGTGAGATGGCTCAGAAGAAAGAATAAAAAATGGTTCTGTCTTGAATTCAATTTCCTGTGTGAGAATTTCGACTTCCTCCTCTTTCTTTCGTAGTATATCTCGCGTTTTTTGCAGGTTTATTTCTTTCCTCTGTGATTCTTTCTTCAGGGTGTCAACAAGACTCGTCAAATTTCTTAACTCGACTGTTGGGAAACTTGTTTGCTATTTCACAGCCTCAATATCATTGATCTGAAGACCTAATGACGTAAATGAGCACAGTACCCTTCCTATGTAATTCTGAAACTCAGCATCAGTCAGCTTACCCTCACAAATATGTGCAATATCATTTCGAACTTGGCGGAGATCATCGACCCCGCTTTTGATCGCAGCAGTGAGGGTGCTGCCAACGCTATCCGAGTAAAGGATAGCAAAAAATAAACAACGGCAGTCCCATTCTGCTGTGTTGCCGTTCTGTATCGTTGCTAAATATCGTTCTTTTTTATCGACTTCGTTTTTCTTCGTTGTTGAAACAAATTGTGAAGACTGGCGTTACACACTGTCTTTGAATAAAAGCAGAGAATGGCCTTAATATACGTGTTTATTATATGGCTGTGTCTCACAAGGACTGGGAACTACCGAATTCACGAATTTGATAGGCTGAAATCAACATTAAAGGCGGTCCAGATTTTCCCATCAAGACCGGTATCTAGACCGGTCTAGAAAAAAAAGGTACAAAGAATATAAAAAATTGGCATATAAGACACAGCCATATAATATACATCTTATTAACCGAGCTAGGTCGGTCTGTATAGGAGAATCTTGACCTCGTTCGCTGGCACAGACCTCACTGCGTTCGGTCTGTACTGGCGACTTCGGTCAAGATTCTCCCGTAAAGACCTCTCGCTCGGTTAATAAGAACTAATGATAAATTATATACATGAGTATTTCTTTTCGCGTGATACTGACTTCACCCGTAGCTGATGAGCACTTTCCATCTCTGAGAAGATGACGAGAAACAAGACGGTTTATTTTTTCGTTAAACTCACTAAACAGAAAATTGTCTCGTCAATTGGGTGGGTTTTCAAAAAATACATAATTACGAAAAAGTTCGAACTCAGAATTTCAATCTTTCAACTTAATATTCGCGCTACCGACTATGGAACACTTACATCAATAATAAGAAGAAATTTACCACCTTTTTGGACTTGAGAATATAACTTCAAACTTCGGAAAGAAAACAATTCAGTTTTCTGCGTCTAAATGATAGTCAAGTACTATTAAATTTATCTTGACACTAGTACCATCTTTTGGTAGGGAAATGTAATGCTAAGCCACGAATGCCTCTAAAAAGTTTGAAACTTTGCCAAGACTAAGACCTCTAGTAACAACGATGTGTCTACCTCAACCTATTTGCAGATTGTTTCTCAGATTTCTCTGAGAATAAAAAGCACAAATACATTCACATACTTATCGTAAATACTAGCCAGGGATCGTTGAATCGTCCCACTGCAAATCGCGTGACTTTGATCGGTTGTTATGTCATAACAACTTCGTGCATATTGTTGTGGGGATTTTTTTACCATTCGCTTGGCGAATTAACAAAAGGTGCCAAGACTCTATACTTTTCTTCTTTTATTCTCTCTTCTTCTATTGTTGCTACTACCTTCTACTACCACAGCTATTTCTCTTCTTCTAACTTCAGCGAGGAGTGCCCTCTCATTTAATGTAAAAATCACAGACATGTTTGGGTTAGCTGACCGTGGGAATTTCCAAAACAGGATATTCAGTGTGGGTAAAACTCAAGGTCAGTTTTACCAACCCAAACATGACCACCTAGCAAACTAGTTATCCTCAACCATAACAAGCGATTAAAATGTCTAGCACCGTAAGAACTGAGCCAAGTTGAAGCACACACTAAAAATAAATGATCAAAACTATCGATTCATCAAAATAACAACATAGACGCAAAAAGGCGAGACTTTATAAAACAAAAGGTAAACCTAAAAATACTCGAAATATCAATCCTTGAAAATGGTCTACAACATTCCTCCCCGCCTAAATTAAGCATCGTCCTCGATGCGGACGGTAAAGAAAGATTACAAGGATGATAGACATGAAATCGCTCATTGATACCTCTTCGCTCCATTAACAAAATAATTGAATGGTTTTTTTTTTGTTTTGTTTTTGTGTTCGTTTTTTTAATTACCTATCAATTTAGGTTCAATCTAATCAAGCAGCCATTAATCAACTGTCGAAATTGAACTACGCTACTTGCGAACCAAAGGTGTTTCAAAATGAAGACGTTTTCGCACTCGCGTGACGCGTGGATTAAAAGGCTGCGGGCCAGAGAAAGGTAACCTCTTATCTTTAAAGTAAATAATATTTCGCAGAATTGGTTTTCTTCAACTGAATGGCGGACACCTTGTCTATAATTCTAGAAAAATTAAGGAAAGCTAAGGTTATCACATAGTTCGCCATTATAATAAAAGAAAAGGAAAACAATAGTTCAGTTCAATTCAGTTCAGTTCCTTGAATGACTAGTCTTGGATGGTCTGATAGTAAAACTGTTACATTCTACGCTGGCTAGATCATTATAAAAGAACTCGGCTATCACTCAGATTTAGAAAGTCAAATTAGCTTGCAACGGAAAAGCATGCTGATAAAAGCGAAGTTCCACTCACAATTGTTGGAATTCCAAAAGCGTACTTTACCAACTTGTAGATAACGGGTCTCCACCGGTTTTGTTGAAGACGGGTCCTCCACCAAATTTGTTGTGGGTTTTTACCACTCGCTTGGCGAATTAACAAGAGGTGCCAAGACTCTATACTTTTCTTCTTTTATTCTCTCTTCTTCTATTGTTGCTACTACCTTCTACTACCACAGCTATTTCTCTTCTTCTAACTTCAGCGAGGAGTGCCCTCTTATTTAATGTAAAAATCACAGACATGTTTGGGTTAGCTGACCGTGGGAATTCCCAAAACAGGATATTCAGTGTGGGTAAAACTCAAGGTCAGTTTTACCAACCCAAACATGACCACCTAGCAAACTAGTTATCCTCAACCATAACAAGCGATTAAAATGTCTAGCAAGGTAAGAACTGAGCCAAGTTCAAGCACACACTAAAAATAAACGATCAAAACTATAGATTCATCAAAATGACAACGTAGACGCAAAAAGGCGAGACTTTATAAAACAAAAGGTAAACCTAAAAATACTCGAAATATCAATCCTTGAAAATGCTCTACAACAATATCACACGAATGTAATAGCCCATTACTATTATACGAAGGTATTCAATCAATCCTAGTTGAAAATCTTTTTTAAAATTTACAATTATTTTGACGGATTAACTCTTTCTAGAGGGACCTTTTACTGTGGTTTCATCTTACCTTGTTGGTACTCACCAGCTATCTCAATCGACTCTGCCTCAAATCTCAGATGGATAAAGTTCACTTTCGCACTATTTAACTGGTTAACTTTCCTTGGACTCCTCTCTTCTCTACTTCACCTCCAGATGAAATGATTAGTACTTCAAATATGGCCGAAAGTGTAAAGAGAGTAAGAAACGCAGGCAATCGATCGATGGACCACGCAGCGGTGTTAATATTTTTCTTAGAGAGGATTATGCGTGACAACAATAGCTAACAAATGGGGAAAGTATCTAGTTAAACGGAAGTAGAGTTTTACGAAATCAGAAACTTTTGCCACTTGGGCCAGCAAACGTCTGGATTCCAAGGAGTCCCAACCAAGTTGATTTACAAGATCTTGTGAGTTTGTAGATCTCTTGTAATTATGCGCGACGAAACGAGCAGCCCGTCGCTGGACTTTTTCGATAGTTTCAGTGTCCCTGTTTGTGTGTGGATTCCAGGCAGTACTTGTATATTCTAGTAAAGGTCAAGTAATTGCTTTGTAGGCTCTTTCCTTGACTTCAGGTGTACACGGTTGTAAAGTCCGTTTGACCAGCCCGAGAGCCCTATTGGCTTTGTTGG